GATATATCCGAATAAACCAAGAGACATCCCCAGAGGATTTTTTATTGTGCGAATTGAATAGGGGAAATAGATAAATTCTGGAATCAAGAAAATAAGCATGCTTCCACAGAGTGATACTATACGCGTCTTTAACATAATCGTACCAGTACAAATTTCGTGTAACGTAAACCCAGTAATGCCAATCTATATTAAGGTGAAAATACATGGTGCGTAAATATCCACCGGAGTAACCTAACGAAAATTGACCATAGGATAGCGCATGGATACCCGAAGTAAGTGCGGCTATAAGTGCATTGTCACTTGCAGGTCCCAGTATCGTAGCATTATGGTACCAGAGGACTATAGGGTTATTATACGTGGTTATTTGCGGACGTGCAGATGGACCAGCCACAGAGAACAGCCGAAGGAAGCACTTAGGCGAGGGCGGATCCGTAATGTGTATTGGTTTTGCGCGTGAGCCCTTAATGAGATTCTCTCGCGTGTTCACTGTATCCACGTTGTATAATCCTTGAATCTAGCTGACGGATGAGCTTTCTCGTTATGCGTCGCAAGTGTTACGTAACGCTGTCGCGACCGTGAAATATTTCAATTTCGCGTGAAATGTTTTTTTTTGTTTTTCTCTGAAACAAACGCGTGCGATTCAACAAGAGCTTGGCAGATTTCATGAAACTTTGTTAAAGAGGACAACTTTTTTTGCCATTGTTTTTCTATTTCTAAGGAAACGTTCAAGCGAATAATGCTCTCCCAGAGTGAAAATGCTTCGCGGCACAAAGAGCTCTGTTAAAGTTCCAATCTTCATGAAATTGACGTCGACGATAGTAGAATTTATCATTCGCGCAGGATCTTCCAGTCGGTGCAGTTGATTCGAGGACTGTCGTGTAATTTTTGTACTCGCGAAACACAGAATAAAAAATTTCGCTTAGCGTACGATGTATCTATCGCGTCGCAGCCACGTGGTCCGAGCTCAGCGAGATTCGCCCAATCGATGTCATCACACATTCCCAGGAATGGACGAAATTCAAGACTTAGAAATTTCATAGCGTATTTCGTTACTCGTCGTCCCCCCTGAAATTTCCTTAAGGAAATCTAAAGCCTTCCCTTCGAGCAATAACAGACAATAATATGAAGCCGTAGTCAGGCTGAGCATCGCTGCTATGTATGTCGAAAGGGGTGTAACTGGATATAGGCTAATCTGGCCCCGACTGGGCTTCCTCCTCTTTTGCATACCCTTTTCCTAGAGTCACAATCTTTCACAAGACGGTATACGTAAAGCACGCTCGTCTCTGCTGATATCGTCTTGCTCACGCAGAATAACAATAGCCCGATTAAACGAAAATGGTAGAGATAGCGATAACGCTTACCAGGTGAACCTGTGGATGCAGGAAATGAGAGGCTGGGATTGGCAGAGGTCGGGAGTCTAAGACTGTTGGTGATACGGGGTGATTTGCGATTGAGAATAACGAATCAGAGAAGTGGGTTTGATCGTTCGATATTCGAGGGGCGACAATTACATAATATTACGCTCCCGATATAAATGCACGGGTCGATTTTGATTCTGCCGAATCCAAACACAAGTATCCTTGATCGTACCGCTACGTTCGAATTAATATTTGTATCCCTCTCTGGCTCCTTACGGATCTTATAATTTCACTCGAATTTCTTCCACGCTCTCTGTCCATCTCGTATTTCTCAATATTTCACGATACTCCTTTTTTACTAACGTAAAATAGCCAGAGGGGCAGGGGTCAGCTTTCGACAACGAGATCTCATTCGAGTTTGAAGCAATTCGTTTGAAAAGGTACTTTTCTAGTCTTCGAGGTATTCTCATGGTTTTTGTCCCACGGACAGGATATACTGGTTTTCCACACTTTTATAGCAGTACAATATGTAGCTTTCATATATATACATAAATGTATATATTCATGCTTGTGTTTCATGGCTGATCGATGTTAAAAGCGAATTGGACAAAGTATTCATTGGATTCGACTTTTACTCTAACGTTTCATATAAATCTTGATGGATAAGGCTTTAGTGCTGCACACTTTTCCACGAGAACTTTCTTCCTATAGGGAGAGATTTAACCAAAGCTCTCTACCATACTCTTTGCTAGTCAGAGAAATTCTACAAATCGATCAAAGTCCTCATGGCTAAATGGAATCGGCCTAGTCTGGTTTCTTCGAGTACGAAGGAATTCTAGAAGAAACGCATCCAGACGATACCCGATCAGTTGATACGAGCCCTCCAGTCCGTCTTGTGTATAGGCCCATTTTTCATTTTCCAAGCAGTTCCTGTATTTCATTCAGGCCGATGACTACTCTTTATCTCACCGGTAAAGCCTTCTTTCTTTTCGAATTCACCTTCAGCCTCATCACTCGAATCCCCAGTTCCACAGGGGTTAATGGCCTTAATAAATACGAGCCATCCAGCCCCCCTTGTCTTCCCCTCGTTTCACCCCACCCACGGAGCTCCTGACATCTTCCGTACGTGGCTTCCTTTTTAATACGCGACGGCCGCCCTGATAATCGTCAGAAAGCAGAATGCCGTCGGTTCGAACGACCCGCAACCGCTTTTCCCTTTAGATTATCCAAAGTCGTTACACTCTTCCGGAACACTATGACGTACGATTGTATCTGTCCCGCATCTCTCACGCCTCATGAAATATCATTCTCGATTAACAAGAAATATAAGTCGGACAGACTACCGAATAGTTTCCTGGTCGTATCTGGAACAGCCACAGTCAAACCGATAGAAATGCAAATTCGTATTGAAATACAAACAGCAATACCTCTGCCCAGCGATGCAGCCAAATAGAGTCACGAGCACAATCATGTACACGACTGGTCTTTCTGTGCTGTATGAAATCCCATGAAAGGCTAATGCGATTGCCTTTACAATTAATACTCGAAATAGAGTTTACAGAATGAGACTTGAAAATTGGAAAAATTATATAGTATAGCTTTTTCTTTTAATGCAAAAAGGTGAACCGATTGCGTGATACATGACGAGAAGTGCAATGCTCTTTAAAGTTGGTGCAACGATTTGATTTTGAGTATCGGGCGGAAATACACAAAGTGCCGAGGACGCTCGAGAAACGATATAATCTGAAACTCAACTCCATTCTCATTGGTCGGAGCGACCATTACCCCAAGCTGCCCGTCGTTAGTGGAAACGCGGCTTGTGCAGCGCCGCGAGCTGTTTAACAATTAGATCGTAACGACCGCTCTAATTCGCCGTCGCGTTTCTTTCAAATCCGGTTGCAATTCAAATCTCCAGCGTCGAGACCGCGACGTCTGTAAATATTATAGTTATAGGTAATTGCGCTATTGTGTCCTGAACACGTGAAATAGCGAAACTGTATCGCGATGCTTTAGAGTGAAAGAACTATTCTTAGGCAGAAGGATCTGGACCGCTTCGATGAGCTCCTGCCATCTCCGAGATGTTGCCAATTCTGAATACATTGATCGCTGGCGGGGGACGCGGTTGTTTATTTTCTGAAATTAAATTGAATTGCCCCATAACTTGCCGGTCTATTAGCCCTGGGGACCAGGCTAGTTTGCTCGTAAATCTCCGGAGTATCGGGGCTTGGGTGGCACTGGTGGGCCTCAGGGTGTGGGGATTCGATTCGCCCCGACAATGCGTCCGGAAGCTCCCAGGAAATACATGGGCGTGGTGCCGAGATAAATGTACTCTTGCATTTGCATACTTACCTCTCGCCCTGATGCCTGAAACCAGCCCAGTTTCACCCTTCCCGTATGGATAACCCATATATGTATGCATAAAATATATTTAAAAAATACATGATAAATATAGGGATTATAAGACAACAAAAAAAGTAACGAAACCTTGGCTATTTGTCTTGCTGCTGCGCCTTGCGTCTTTCTTGTAAATAAAAAAATATGACAAAGAAAAGGAAGAAAGCGAAAGGAAAAATACTTTTTTCAAGCCATACGTTTCTAGACGACATTGATTACGTGATGAGGATGGAAAAAAGTTAAAGAATCGGCACGTGCGTGAGGTTAATACGAAACAAGAATTCCGTGAATGTATTTAGAGTCTTGACCCTTGGACTTGCGTAACCGGCCCGTATCGAGTTTGTGCTACGTTACAGAGGAAAAATAGTAAGTTGTATTATTTTTAAAAAAATTGTAGAAAAGTTTTCGATTCTCACAATCAGAAGTCCTGTTGTTCTAGTAAAACCGCATTAGTCAGAACTTTGAAGACTTTGCGCCACTAAACGGATTAGCTTTTCCATTTGGCGAGCATCCTCATTGACAAGAAGACTCATTACATGATTCTCTTAAAGTTTCACAAGAAAACTGTCTTTAAATGTCAGAGGTAACCGGCTGCGGATTAGAGACGATTGGAAAATTATACCTAGAAACTGACTGGGTAACGCGAAAGGCGAGAATCTTTTAGCCGAAAATGCTTGTAACGCAGAATTGTGCTGTGAAAGCCGATAAGTCAAATTTCACGGAAACTTCATTCTTCCCGCCGTAAGAAACAGACGAACACGACAAAGTTTTTGCCTCTATAAAAGGACGGTGCAATACTTTCATCCGAAACGTAGATAGCCTGCAGTTATGGAAACAAGAAAAGCATATTTACGCTCCCGTCGGATACGTGATTGTCGCTTATGCGGGTCAATTCCATAGAGCATCGCCTACTGTAAACACCTATAATTATCATATTTATTCCTTGATAAGACGCTGCTATATGTACATTCGTACTTCTCTTGATTTTCCACTGTGTTATTATCTTATGGCAGATGAGTTACGTCATCGCGTCAGATAGTTTCAACTCTCTACTATCACTGCCGTTCGCACTAATACTAGTGTCCCCTCGTGACTGTATTCACGGAGCTCGTAATTTAGCTGAAAAGGACGAAAGGTTACGTTAATCCTCTGGTGAAATTCAAGGCTGGCTCAAGATAACGACAAAGGACAACAGACAGGAGACAGAATAGTAAAGGCTGAAGGCTGAATACCGAATACACCCACGCCTTAGGGTCAACATATTTCCTTTATTTTCACATCGGACAAACTACTGAGAGACGCTCGGGCTTGAAGGTCCACGCGTTACATCAGTACCGAGAATTGATCTTGAATGTCTACGATAAAGTTTATCAGGCGAAAAATTTGACTAAGGTGAATGGCCATCACTCTGGCCATGGGACAGGGCCATCCACTCTAATTCAATTATCACTAATTAATATTTACATCGCACGCGTATTCGGAAATTGGCGTAAGAAATTTGGTGCACACCGAGTTACGCCTTCGATTTTATAAACACTTAGTAACTACAATGGGATTCATAATATTTCGCAAATAGAAACTGTCAGAGTTCATTGTCTCCATGGTATGGTCTCATCATAACATGTGCTTGAGTTTGAACCATTTGTCTAGGGCGTTGTCACTCGATGACTTCATACAAGGACCAGGCTTAACTGGTTTGGGCATTATTAACCCCTTGACTTATGATATCGAATGAGACTCCTGATAAGGAATTCGGGACCAAACATAGAAATAACGACTCGGACTTGTGGGTGTGTTTATGAAGCGAGTGACTTTCCTTGCTGATTATGGCATGCACGGTCATAACTTCAATCGTCGATCAGAAGGGGTTTAGATTATAAATTTCATTGATTTGAATAAGCAGCTCAATTATTTCCTCGAATAAAGTGTCCTCGTTAGATTCAATCAACATGTCGTAGTATATTTCTCGCTCGTTCAAGAAATAATCCATTATACTGATTTTTCGCTTAGCGCACATGGCTGGTAGAAAGTAGCTGGCAATGAACATCCCGTGAGCCATGTGCTTGTGGTAATCCTCTTTAAAAGTTTCGAGTGAATATTTCTTTAAATCAATGGCGAAATTATGATCGTCGCGCAGATAGCCGAGCAGAGCATCGTGGTAGGCTTTGAAGATATCGTCAAATCGTTCGGTGCGATCTTTCTTAAATGTGGAGACGTAGAGCAAAGTGGAAACGTCGATTGCCGGTGAGCTATGTTTTACTTGAGCAAAGTCTATAAGGGTCGCTTCTATCCGATCGCCGGTCCTCTTGAAGAGAACGTTGTTTTTGGTAAAATCGCCATGGCACAGGACTGCTATCGAATCGTCGTAGACAGTGCTCGTTTCACTGGCTCGTTTTATTATCCGACCGAGATCGCTTTCCATTTTCTTCCAATAAGCAGGATCGTTGTTAACTCTCAAGCCGTACATACCGATAACTCTTTTAATAAAATATTCAATGGATTCAAAGAACCGTTGATGATTTTCATCGGAACCACCTTGTCGTAGGTTTTTGAGAATTTCAAAATATTGTTCAGGTTGGCTCTCTTTCAGAATGTATCCGCGAGCATGAAATCTTCCCAACTCTTTCATCGCTGCCAAAACGTACTCCAAATTTAATCGCGATCCTGGCACAATCTTAAAACCACGTTTCTCGATATTTTCTACCGCAATGACAGCATTGCACAGAGGCTCGTTGGACGCGTATATGCATTTAGGTATGTTTTCGTAGTACCTGACAAATTTCCTGTAGAACACAATCTCGTTGTGAAATAAATCGTCACAATTGATGAGCGCCCGTAACTCTGCCACGATCGGTGGTGTCTTAATAACCAGATCTATTTGCTTGTCGCCCAATGTGCCGTGAACGAAATAAACGCTGGATGCGTAAAAAGCTGCCTTTGGGCTAGACATTTGCCAGGAGTACGAAGTGCTTTCCTCATTGTATTTCTCAAGTGCTTTTTCCACGCTTGGAAGTACTTCCTTTCTAATCCACAAGGCTCTTTCGTCGTTGGCCACACTCATTTCGAAATTTGGCTTCTAACGATTCTTCAGATTTTTCCCTGGCTCTGTTGAATCGGACGGATCTTCTTTTATATTGCAACTCTCCTCAGTGGTAATGACATCGGTGCATCTTGTGGGTTTTCTTGAGTTTTGTAGAATACTAATTTAAATTGCACTTGCGTGATATGCCTTCTTAACATTGCAAGCATTCACAGTGAGCTGCGACGAAGTGTATCGAGATACTGACTAGTTCATTGCACGACCATCTCTCTACTGCAAGTCGTACGCCTTGCGAATACGCCTTGTATTTATGAAAGTGCTCTATTGACATTTACCAGATATCGTGAAGTACCCGTCATTCAATATGACTACGTTTAACACGGCAATCTTCAACCGGTTTACTTATCACTGATCTAAAGGAATAGATAAATCACAGACATTTTCACTCGTAAGGAATATTTGGGATTGGTCAATTCTCTCATATCGGTATTAACTAATCCAGTTTAAAGCCGTCGTGCAACCGTAGCTTATGATTACTAGTAGTTGGCAACAATGAGGTACTGGGTATGGGAAACGGGGAAAATGCAATTCATCCTGTATGTATATATTAGACGGATGATTACGCAATGTTTGTAAGGCGGAAGAGACGATTGGTGACACGACTCTGCATTCTGCAAGCGATGCTACGGACGATCATCGGTCAGAAATAACTCAACGTTGATTCGGTTGATAGGTTTTAAAAATTTTTTTCTTTACAAGCAACAGTGACATTGCAGTCGCCAGCACTTTGAAAACGTGAATTACGCTTCTTCCTCTTGCTCGTTGTCGATGACAAATAAACATTACGCGCAATACCATGCCAGCGTCACAATTCACTGGAATTGAATTTCAATTTACATTCATCATATCTGAGTTATAGTATCGTCGATTTCTTTTTTTATTGTCCGCATGCATTTTATTTTCCTATAGTGAAGAATTTTTGTGAAACAATTAATGGTATCGCTTTTTTTTATTGAAGTTGTAAAATTTCTAAAAGAGTTTTTCTCATCTTTATTTCTGTTTTTCCAAAGAAATTATTTCCTTGCTCAGTGAGTATGGAAGGAAGTAGGTAGGGCTGTCTAGGTAGAAGCACTGGAAAACAATCCCTCGTCCACTTACGAAGATTGCGGAAATTCCAAAAAAAAAAAGCCACGAGTGCCGTCTACGATCTAGAAACGCAAGCGGCGCAAAATCGTCTTCTTGGCTCGCAAGGATGAAATTAACTGAATTGGCTGCGCACGAGTGGCCTTCTCGTCACAGGGAATGGGTGAGGGTACCTCGAGAAACCGAGAGATGCTTCAGACTCGTTTCGGATACAGACGAAAATACAGGGAGCCTCCGGCTCCATAAATTCATTTCTCATCTTTTATCTTGTATTTTCTTATTTCGAATCTCTCTCTCTCTCTCTCTCTCTCTCTTGCTCTCTCTCTCTCTCGCTCTCTCGCCATCTCATATCATTTCTTTTTCTACCGATCAATCCCTCTTGCCCCTTCGTTCGCTTTCTCTTGCGCTCACAAGTGTATGTAATTAAGATAGTCATCCTTTGGACCCAATAAAAGAACGCAAAAGTTACCTGCGACTATAGAAACCTTATGACCCCTTTTTGTGACCAGAATCTAGCCAAGAACCAAAGCTTCTGTCCAAAGCCTGAATCAGTGCAGTTAGATCAGAATCGAAAGTTCATCGTTCTGCGGATTTCTCATGAAAAGCATTGGTGAGAAATCCCGAGACTCAAAGTTACACGGAACAGTCTTTGGATGCACAAAGGCTTACCTTTTATTTCCCTACATTCGAGCCAAAAGCGTCGATGGAATTCTTTGAGATTTAATTTAATTCATGATGGCGTCCTTGGCCACCACGACTTTTCATGTCGTGGAGATATATCATGAAAACTTGAAGGAAACTCCATCGGCCACGAAAGTTGTCGCATTACTTTGCATTTTTCATATTTTGGTCAACGTACGAGTTTCGTTTAGTAAGTCAACCAGCCTTCCTTTTATACAACCTTTCTCATTGAAAATGTGGGTCATGCGAAACGTAGAGCACGAAAAAAAATCGCGCGCGCCTCGAGTGCTTCCAAATACGCTTGTCCTCTCGAAATTTCTTCATTTGAGCGGCCGAATCCTGTTAACTCGGCGTCATTATACTGCGGATTCCTAGTTCGACTTTACAGAACCTCGTGTACCTTTCGCCCTCATGTATACGTTTTCTTCGTAACTTGAGTGACTGTAAAAATCACTCTTATTGCGGTACCACTTGAATTTATTTTCTGGGTAGATATTCACAATTTTGGTATCTTATCGTCTTTGCGGCGTTATATATATAATATAAAAATTTACTTTAAGACGAGTAACGACTAAAACGCAATAAATCAATGCTAGACTCTCTGCTAAGGTTGCCTGCTTGAAATTTCACAAGAATTGCAAGAAGTTACGCCACGTACTCGGTTATCCAGAGGAGCGTGAGGATGAAAAGCAATTGTCCAATTCAGGATTTGGAAACGTCCGGCACAGTCGGAAAGACTAATGATTCTTATTCGAATTCATACATCATAGCGGGAACTCTATCGAAAGTTAGCCAGAGCAGTCCAATGGAGAGGAGCAATCTAGCCGTAACGCGAAACGACAGTTCCTGCCATAATAAAGTAGTCTTTCGAAAACCATGAACAGCGATTAATTTGTGATTCCCTGATGATGGAAAGAGGCAGGGTGGCAAGGGGAGGGAGGTGTGGGGAAAAGGTCAAAGTTAGTCAACGAGTGAAGGAGTAACTGAGTAGTAAGCAAGGAGAAAACTTTTGAAAAGTTGTAAAAGCTCGATAAATCTTAGTCAATAAAGCTAGTGAAAATAGGAAATGTAGGGTATCCGAAATGGTTGCTGACACTACCAAAAGACAACACCAGAAGCTTCTCAGCTGATTTGCCTCGAATCGTCAGGTGTAAGGACCTTACATTGCATTAGATTGTCTCACTTGTATTTTCCCAATAAATTACATAGATTTTAGGCAATTGAAATTCTTGTTGGTTATATAGTATATTTATGTTCAAAGATATTTTTATCTTCGTCGTATCAAACCATTACAATCTAGGAATAACAACCCTATTTACTTACAGAGACTAATCAGAATCTTCCCGATTAGTAGATGAATATTTAACGAAAATTAAAGATATTTTAAAGAAAAATTTTTACGTGCAGTGACACAGTTCTCATTAACTGCGACAAGCGGCATTCCTGTTTACGATTTTAGCACAAAACACGCCTAATCCATTATAGTCTATCTGTATGCATTTGGTAAATGTACTCGAAGCAAATAATTTTCCACTGAGTGCAATAAATCAAAGACGCAGTCATGCACTAGTCGCCAAATTTTTCAGTAATCTCTGGAGCATTGGGCGAAGACGAAGATAAGATAACTGACTTATTACTGTACCCACGTGTACAGTATCGCCTCAGTGTAAAAGCCACAGAGGCAAAAACGCATTTGCTCAAAAATAAACAGATTTAATCGTTTGCATACAAAAGACAGACAAGTACTATCAGTTTTCTATCTAAAATTATCAGTTCATATCGCCCTGGCTTATAAAATGTTGATTGTTCCCACTCATATAATTCTCCTGCAGCTCGGTACTTTTCTAACAAGCGAGTTACCCGCTATAAAGCGCTTCTCCGAGTAATGCTCGGATCGCAAGTGATCACGATGACTAGTCAGTTTGTCAAGACCCACTTTAATAATCTCAATTTACTTGTGACTTGCCATTGAACAAAAACAGTTGACAGAGGCCCGAATTATCACGATTTTTAAGTACACAGACACCACAGATAACTAACGTATGTACGTCGATATTACGAGTGACAAAGAACAGTTTCGAATTTAACCAGGCGAAACTGTCACTTTCAAGTGCGCGTAGGATACAGATGACCAATGTATCTATGTCGATATACCGAGTGACGAACAAGAGTTTCGAACTTAACCAGGCGAAACTGTGCCGAGCACAGGTAGTGTAAAACCGGGCAGAGAAACGAGATGCCGAAGACAAAGCGTGAACATTCCGAAGCAGCTTACAAACGTAAACTATGCGTCTGTTGACGCTTAGTCGGGTCCAAGTGGCACTCAAGCACCTGGGAAGCAAGTGCGAGAAGTCCTCTTTGCATAAGAATTGCGACTAATACCCAGACTCAAAGTTAAACTGTCGTTAGGTTAATGAGTCCTCGGAAATAGGAGCTTTGTTTCGTTAACTCGGTAGCAGTGAGCTAGAACCCAGC